GAGATTCTGCTCAAGCACAACGAACTTCGTTTGATTGAGCAGGAGCTCGCCAAGTGCCAGGTTTCTCTCGAGCAGCTGAGGCGTTGTTCGCTCATCCCATTCCCCGGTACCGAAGGCCTTAGTGAGGATGTCAGTCTCGGGGTTGGTGCTTCGTTGCAACCCAGCTCTGGCATGACAGAACCACAGTATGCTGCTCCCTGGGGAGTCACCGACGGCCCGTACACTCGCCACTACGCAAAATGGTTGATCTCGGATGCCAAGTTTGACCCCGTATCTGAACGCGCATTCGCTCAGCAAGCTCAAGGGTACTTTGGCACTGGTGAAGGCAGAACGACGCGCGGCAGCTTTGCTGACTATGGGTCTCACAGAGGCCGCACGTCGCGAACTTCGACTGGAATGTTGAAGCTCACGCCCCTTGGTGAAACTCCAGCACCAGCGCCCAAGGTCGACCCGCTGTTGCACAAGCGATCGACGGACGGTCAGTGGGTGCGCCTGTACTGCGCCCCGTGTGGCCACAGCAACTTCTCCAACACTCAGGGTTTCCTCAATCACTGCCGGATCAAGCACACGCAGGTCTTCAAGAGCCACGACGCTGCAGCCATCGCATGTGGTGTTCCTGTGGATGTTGACAATGTTGGTACTCCTATTGCCGCTGCCGCTGCCGCTGCCGAACCTGCGAGCGCTCCAGTTGCGCCTCCAGCCGTCTCATTCCCCGTTGTTGCCACTCCCGGCATCGTCCACCCACTAGCATCACAATCTGCACCCGTCCCACAAGCCCGGGAGGTACACCGTGATCAGAACGCTTCCCCACGTGACGATTCCAAGGTTACCACCCCGGCTAGCTGTGCCAAGTCATCATCGACGCCCTACCTTGCTGCCCGATTCGCCAACAGTGGCGCCCAAGGCGACTTCAAGGAGCTTGTCGAGACTGCCCGCGCAAAGGTCGACCTGGACGCCATGGATGCCTCGGATGACGACAGCCCTGCCCCGACCCCCGTGTCAGCAGTACCGCCGCATCTAGCGCGCCTCCCTGCCAGCGGACCCGCAAGCAAAGCCCCATCAGCACGACCAGGCAGCAAGAAGGGTAGCAATTCCAGTCACGCGCGCCTGCCGTTGTCGTTCCCGTCTCCCACCAAGTCTGAAGGCGATCATCACATGCCAAGCTCACCGGTAGATCTCAGCCCTCACACGGTTGAGTCGAACCCGGGGCTTGTCAGCGATCACGACGACGACGATGATGAAGACGCTGACGATGCACACAGCCAACCTGATCTTTCGATCGGCGGCGACGACGTCATGGTCGAGGATGCGAGTGACGTCGAGGGCGTGCAAGAACGCAGGGGTTCTCGACCAGCACTCCATGGATGCTTCGAAAAGGGAGAGGGAAGCCGGAAGCACTGAGCAGCGAGAGCGAGTTAGGTCCGGCTCACGCTGTTGCTGTTTCTTATCCCCTTCTTCCTTAACGATGTCACTTGTCATGGAGCTATGGTATTCTTTCTTTCTACTCGACACCGGCGGCTTTTCTCCATTCTTCACTTATACACGGGTTACCAGCAATGGACGGAGTCGGTCCGGCTGGCTCAGGACATTCCAACATGTTCTGCTTTTGCGATTTGTTTCACTTATCCTCTTACCTGCTTGTCACTGTTGCCAGTCTTGTTGTTTTACGGAAATGCCCTCAAAATGTGTCAGAAACTCTCATCTCACGAGTCGGAGCGAGTCGTTGTCTTTTCCATCAAGGAAGGGAAGATGGCTCTTTAGTTTAGGCGCTGGAAACGTCGTGTATCATCACCTTTTGCTATATGTACGAAATTGGGTGGTGTCTCTGGTCGGTGGTTGTTGGTTGTTGTTCTATCTTTTTTATGGGATGGAGTGGGTGGATTAGATGGATGCTTAGGGGGTTGTGCTGGTACACTGGCATTTGGCTAAAATGATGGCAAGGAGTGTGAAAGCTTGCTTGCGCGATTTTGTTTGCTGCCTTTATGTATATAAACTTTTTAATCTTATGAAAATCTTGTTAAACATTGGATTGGATGGGTTTGTGTGGTGATGTTCTTGTGGCTTCTTACTTGCCGCCGGTGGTTATCTCTGTGAAGGTTGACTTCCACGGATGTATGACTGGTAGTTTGATCGGCATGTCTATTTCCCAGTTCCTGATGCTATCCCATAACGCCTCGCTTTGTAAATGTGTCCTCCGCTGATATCTCCGTTCGCCTTCAATACGCTGTATCCTCCTACAACACAACCGGCTCAACTCATAAACTGCAGTACCTGTGTATCGTTAGCTTCCATTCTCCCATCCCCATCCCGTCCCGACCCATCTCCCCTCCCATCCCATCCCCTTTCCTCCCCCACCCCCCTCCCATCCTATCTCATCACAAAATCCCACTTACAGCCATAACAACACAAGCCAAACTAACATACGGGCTCAGCCGCTCCCCCACACGCGCAGCCTTCCACACAGGCGAAATCCAATATTTCTCCTTGTTTCGGTCGAGGGGGCCCGGGAAAGTCGCGTGCGCGTATGTGGCCGTGCAGATTGTGAGGAGGATTACGAGGAGGAGGGATTGGAAGTTGAAGAGTGCGGTCTAGGGTGAGTTAGTTGAGGGGAGGTGGTAAAGAAGGGGGGGAGAGGGGATGGGGGAGATGGGGAAGAGGGAGACTGACCATCGTGATGGTTGTGGATGGGGGTGTCAAGGCGGAGTGTTTGCGTGGTGGGTTTGGATGCGTGTCGAATGGTGTGGGTTCGTCGCTATAGGTGTCTTCGCGTATATCTCAGCGTAGAAGCGCTCGTAGTCAGAGAGGGTAGGTAAAGGTTGCTGCCTAGTGAAAGCGCGCGCTTCAGGCCAGATTGTCGCTTCACTGTAGTCGGCGTACATGTACGTTGGTTGCGCCCGCGGACAAGGGGTCTGTGCGCACTCCCGGCCGCCGCATGTGATCGTCATTGCAGCTTGCGCAGCGCGCTAGCTATTGTCGCTGGAACAAGCGCGACGGAGGATCGCGACTTCACCTCAACCACCGAAGAACGACTATTACGGCACTGCGGAACTACATCATACGGGTTTTGCGCGCAGAGATCATACGCGATTGTTACGGATAGTCGGGTTGGACGAACGAGCGGGAGAGGCGCTAAGAGAGGAGAACGAGGCAGTCGGACAACGACAAAGAGCGCAAGAGACACAACACCATGACAGAGCCACGTATGCGCCTGCGGCAAAAAGGCCAGCAGTTCCCTACACAAGATTGTAAGTCTCCATACCCTAATCCATCAGCGCCCTCGACGCGCACCCAAACCCCCAAGCCCCCATCACCACCATCCACCCAAACTAACCCCCCTCCCCTTACCCCCAGTAGAAGCCTTCCTCCTCGCCTTCGGCGACAACGACTACCCCCTCCCCGAAACCATGCGCGTCCTCGACGAAATCATAACCGACTACATCATCGAAACCTGCCACGAAGCCGCGTCCGTCGCACACCACGCACGCCGCGCCAAGATCAAGCTCGACGACTTTAAGTTTATGTTACGGAGGGATACGGGGAAGCTGGGGAGAGTGTCGGAGATGCTGGAGACGGATAAGGAGTTGAAGAGGAAGAGGAAGGCGTTTGATACTGATGAGGGGGCGGTGCTTGTGGAGAAGGATGGTGGTGAGGGAGGTAATGGAGAGGGGGGTGGAGGGGGAAGGGAAGGAGGGGGGAAGTTGGGGAGGCCGAGGAAGAAGGTTGATGGTGGGGATGGCGATGGTGGAGGTGGAGGGGAGGAGCCGAAGAAGAAGAAAAAGAAGAAGAAGGTTGATGGGGGTGGGGATGATGCTAGTACTGTGCGGAGTGGATGAGGGTGAGGGGTTTGATGGATGGCTGCTGCTGCAACGATTGCATGGAGCTCATATCACAGGTCCACGCGGGCGCAACAAATGCGTAAAGCACACGAGCAGTTACATTCCGGCTGGGTCGACGATATGTCTTGGACGCCATGGAGAGCCACCAACACAGCATCATCATCATCATCATCGAGCGGCGTAGAACCATCGTGTTATCAGCGATCGTACGGCAGCCCGATGAGTAGCGATAAGGGTTTGTGCATTACTAGGAGTATGGTCATTGCGCATTGTGCGGGTTTACTGGCGTTTATCATGGATACCCACCGAGGTCTTTAGAGCTTCTTGAAAAGAACCAAATTTCCCCGATTTCTAATACATCTTCCGGCTTGGTGGTCTTGGGGTCGCAGTGTTACGCATTTCTGACATCGAGGCATTTAAAGAGATAGGTATCCCGAATCTATCGGACATGTATAAGGATGGGTTACTTACACTGAGAATGATTGGAGGGATGTGGCGGCGGACGGGGTTTGAGATTGTTTAAGTGTTGGATGACTGGGACGTAGTTGATTACAGTGCTGCGAAGCCGTTTCTGTGTTCTTCTCTTCCGTCGTGTGAGACAGGTACGTGTGTACAGTTCTTCTTCTTTCTTCAAATGCAGAACTAATCGCAGCCTCTTCTCGAGTAACACTCTATTCCAGTCGAACACGACTACTTTTCGATCGCCAAATCTATACCTCCCGCATACTTGTCACCTTCAGACCGAGATAGCTCGGACATGGACATGGATAATTCCAGATACGTGTAAATGTCACCTGAATCAGTGTTATATTAACAGTCTTTCGATCGTGGCCGAACTTGTCGGAGTACGTGTTTACTGAATACATATCTTCGGCATCGAGTACATGTTAGGCCTCTTGGTCTATGTCTACATCTACGTCCATTGTTGTGTCCTCGATGATCAATGCATCTTTTACACTAAGGCTGAGCGGAGCTTGTTTGAATGATTATGGAATTAACAACCTTGGCGTTTTATCTTTTCTCAGGTCTTTTGCTTCGAGTATGATGGCGCAGTGCAAGTAAGCATTTCCCAGTGTTGAAGTGGTGAATGTAAACTTTCACCTCGTTGCGCAACTCACCTAATGCTACATACTGGTTGCTGTCACTAGGTAGCACGGAGCCTACATGGCCGTGAAGTCACCTACTTTGCATGTTTTCGGCTTGATGTAGGCCCCCCTCCTAGCGATTCGACGATTCTGCAGTCAAATGTTGATGTTGGCCGCGCCTTCCTTCAACAGGTCGCTCTCACCTCACTCGTCAACGAAAAGCGCGTTTGCTCTCACCGCAGCGTATCCACCGTTACCGACACAATGCCTTACCTTCACTTTGTTTGCAGAGCCTTCACTCACCAGCACCAACCACACCAGCTCCCAGCATGAAGCTCCACATCCTCACCCTCGCAGTGCTCGCGACACTGGCTTCAACACACGTCCTGCCTCCCAGCGACAGTGCACTCACGAACCTCACCTATGACACCTCCCTCGAAGACACACCCATACACCATATCGCCGGTACATTCGATCCCTCCACCGTCCACACAACCGCCGACCCCCCACCCCCCAACGCGAAATTCGACAAAGCCGTCTCCACAGGCCAAACCCTCGACTCCGCCATGAAATCCAAAGACAACATCGCGCGCTGGCTCTTCAAAGACTTCCCGCAATACGCAGAAACCTGTCAATCCCCGTTCACCGGCGACGGGCGTGCCGACCTCGCGAAATGGGGTTTCGATGACAGTGACGCACTGAGCGAGAAGATAAAGAACGAGTGCGACTTCGATGCGTATCATAAGATCAAAGCGGCGTTTGATGAGATCGGGCTGGATACCAAGGCGGCGAAGGATGGGGGGCCGAATCGGTGTTTCAAGGTTAATCATCGCGATGGGCCGGCGATTAAGAGGGATGAGAAGGGGGAGTTGCCGAATGAGGCGAAGCAGTATTATGATGTGTGCGGAAGGGAATATCGGGTTAGTCAAGCCTCACCACTATCCCCAAACGCTCCCCACGCTGTATGCTAACGCATACTCACAGGCCACAGGCGCATCCTACGAATTCGCCGCGAACCCTTCCGGCCTCCTCGCCCTCATGAACATCATGTCCATGACCTACTCCGCAAAAACATACACCTGGTTCCGCACGCCCCTCCCCTCTGAACTCCCCGACATAGGCACGACCCAGGATATCGGGTGGGCCATGTGGAACCGCGTCGGCGCAACGAGTCTGGCTGGACTAAAGTACCTGCTTGTGACGCAGGTGATGAATGCGGGGAGTAGGGAGATATTTCGGCATGCGTTGGGGCTGTTGGAGCCGCCGGAGAGTGAGTATAAGTTGTGGCCGGGGCATGAGTTTCTGATGGATGGGAGGGGGAAGGGGGGGAAGGGGGGGTTGGCCATACTGGGTATGTTGAAGTTCTTCCTATTCTGACGACCAGAATATGGGAAGAATGACACGCTAACGAGATACCAGGCTCACCAGTAGGGCGATGGGCGGGCTATCTCTTGCTCCAGCACAAGGACCAACTAGGCGGAAACAGGTACATCGAGAAGGTAAGGCTGTTCAAACCGCCCGGGGCGAGTCTGCCGTACCTTCTGTTCTATGTTGCGAAGGATCCGTGGGTCGGCGAAGTCAAACCGGTGGCTGCGAAGATGGTGAGCGGGATGAACGTCACGAATGCGTTGGAAATGGACGATGATGCCAAGAATGTTGTGAGGCAGCATGTCGTCTTTCTGCGATCGTAGGAGATTGAGATGAAGAAGGTTTCGGTGAGTGTACGATGGTCATGATAGCCTTCAAGAGGATTTGAGACGAGGAAGTTGTGCTATCTGCCTAGAAGATTTTCAGACGCACCTGTCGACCAGATACAAAAGATTGCAACATGCCCCCTCAAACAAAGTCAAAGACATCCCCCTTATCGTTCACCATCCTCCCCACCCTCTTCCCGCCAACAATCCTCTCCAACTCCATCCTCTCCCACTTCGAAAAACACACCTTGACACTCGCTTCCGCGCGACTAATCTCCGCTCTCTCAATCGACTTGCCGACGAACCCCACAACCTCATCGTAGAACAGTGGGTTTTCGGGTACCCCGTAGAACACCACGCGCTTCACGCCGCGGATGTTGTATCTGTGGAAATGGTGGGCGCGGCCAGTATAGAGAAGGAGACTGTGTTTCCCATTCATAAAGTGCGACCGCGCTTTGCGGACGTCGGTGGCGTCTGTGTATTCGCTGATGGATGCGTATGCGATATCGGAATCCACAAGTGAGTTTCGGACGCGTACAAAGTCGAGGTAAGAAGGTATGAAGACAAGGACGCCCAGTCCTCCATCTGGGGATTTAGGTAACCGGGATATGGACGGCAGGATCGAGGTGCTGAAGAATTTAAATCGTGCATCGGGGTCTGTGAGGTGTGATGGGGAGTCAAAGCGGAGGAACGTTTGTTTGATTCCGTAAGAGAGCGACTCGATGAGTCCGGCGGTGTGGTCCGGAGTGTATTTCAGGCGGCCGGCGTAGTTGCGCATATGTCTGTTATACAAGACGTTTATCTTCGGCGTCAAAAACGCACTCAGCACAATCGTCTGGCGGATGTAAGGCGCATGGCCATCTAAATACCAACTCCGCACGCGCGAAAAGTCGCAGCCGTGCGCGTCTTTCGGCTGGAGATTTAGGTGTTCGAAGACGTATTCTGCGTGCTCCCAGTTTTGCATTAGCGCTGCGTCGGCTTGTTCCATGATGACCATTTCGATGGACGACAAGAAATCCGAGTCGCGTTTCTTGGGGTCCCCGGTCTCGATGGCGCGGCGTAGACCAAGGGTAGAGGCGAAGATGATGTCCGAGTTGTAGAAGGTGGAGTAGAATTTGAGGGTTTTGCGGGTGAGCTTTACGCCGATGCGGAATTCGTTTTCGTCGTTTCCTTCGAAGAGTTCGCGGAAGTCGGCGGGGCGGTCGGGTGAGAATTTGTCTTCGGGCAGGGAGAAGCTGTCGAGGAAGCGCTTCTTGTTTTCTTGCTGCTCAAAGTCGTGGAGTTTGGTTAGGCTGTCTAGGACGCGGACGCAGGCTTGTTTCGTCTCGAGGAGGAAGAGGATCTTGGGACGTGTGAAACCTTGGTCGCGGTATTCGACGTCTGGGTCGTCGTCTTTTGCTGTGGCTAGCTTGGCGTTGTTCTTGAGTACTCGGTCGCGCGTCATGAGGATGTGGTTTAGGGCGTGTAGACAGGTGATGTCTCGTAGACGGCCGGTATTTTGCACCGTTCTTGCGCCGAACAGCAGATCTTGGTAGCCAAATATCGAGGGTGCGATGGCTTGTTCCAGCTCATCAAAAGCGCCGACCTTGTTCTGTGCGTTGTCCACCAGCCGCGCTTTCAATTGGACGTCGCGCACACTTCTTAGCTTCCTGTTCGGCTTGACCTCGTCGCTGGGAACCTGGAGTATGCCTACTCCCTTCCCAGATGCTCGATCCAGCTTCTGTGATGTCCACTGATTGGCAGCTATCCGCTTGAGTCGCGTCGGTAGTTCGTTCTCGTTGGGGTTCGCAAAGTGTTTCTGGTAGGCCTGCTCGAGCTCTTGCTCTTCTCGATCGTCTTCGTCCGCGTCTTCGTCGTTCTCAACGTCTGCCTGCTCGCCCTCGGCCTCGTCGCCTTCCAGGGTGGTAGATTCAGCGTCGTCGTCTAATTCGACCTCCTGTTCAGGCTCGTAGTGCTCCAGCTTCCGCCTCTTCTTGCGATGCTCTTCCGAACCAGTATCGCGCGACGAGAAAGACTGCAGGAGAGTCGCATAGGCGTTCGAGACGGGTTGCGCTTCTTCTTCTTCTTCGTCCGGGGCATCGTCTTCTGATACGTCGGATTCGCTCTCGTCAGATGGGGTGGGTTCGCGCATGGGGATGTTTCTGGTACTGTTAGGATTGGACTAATGCACCCGCGACCAATATCCGTACTCACGAATCTTCGACCTCGTCTCGTGTTCTCGCTGCGGCAAATCCGCCTCTTCCACGACCTCTCATGCCGCCCCTTCCTCCTCCACGAAAGCCGCCTCGTCCACGAGATCCGCCTCGTCCTCTCATTGGCGCCATGTCGGTTGCGCTGGTGTGCGCCGGTGTATGCGCTGATGGGAGGGAAGTCTTTCGAGGGGCTTGGATATTTTTGCAGTGTCGGTTGAATGTGAATCTAGGGCGTGACTATCTTTTCTACAAGCAGAGAGAGGTGAGATAGGTGTGGTGACGATCGTATGGTCGCGTTGGGATGCATGTCGGGAAAAAGTTCAGATGGTCCGTGCAAGCGAACGCACCTGCCCAGATTTCGTGAAGAATATCGCTGCGTGCCCCACCAACCACATTTGACGTCCCCCGAGCGCCTCACCACCACGCCCACGACGCCAGACCCCATCGCCATTACCACCGCCACCATGGCCGAGAACGACTCCTTCCTGCATCTGGCGCGCCCGCTCGGCCCCGCCTCCATGGGCGCCCAGCCGTCGACTGCCCCGCTGAACGTCGCTATCCAGCCCCAGGTATGCGACAAGCCAAGCGAGAGGCTGCCTGCTCTACTCTCTGACACGCAATACTAGGCCGTCTTCTCCATCCTCGACCACTCCCTCCGCCGCCCCGCCGAGCAAGAACGCGTCATCGGCACCCTCCTCGGCACCCGCAGCGAAGACGGCACCGAGATCGAGATCCGCAACTGCTATGCCGTCCCCCACACCGAGACGGCTGAACAGGTCGAGGTCGACATGGACTACCAGAAGCAAATGCTCGCCCTGCACCTGCGCGCCAACCCCCGCGAAGTCCTCGTCGGCTGGTACGCGACCAGCAGCGACCTCAACACCTTCTCCGCCCTCATCCAGAACTTCTACAGCCAGCAAGGCGACGGCACATGGCCACACCCCGCCGTCCACCTGACTGTCTCGACCGTCCCCGGCCAGGAGATTGAGTCCAAGACGTACATTTCCGCGCCCATTGGTGTCACCGCCGAGCGCGCCGCCGACTCATGCCTCTTCATCCCCGTGCCCCACGAGATCAAGTACGGCGAGGCCGAGCGGTCAGGCCTGGAGCTCATCTCGTCCGCCAAGGACCGCGAGGACCGGTCGCAGGACGTCATGACGGACCTCGACTCGCTGGAGACGGCCATCACTCACGTCCTGGACATGCTCGAGCGCGTCTCCAACTACGTCAACAACGTGCTGGACGAGGAGGCCGAGCCATCTTCGGCGCTGGGTCAGTTCCTGATGAACGCACTCAGCCTGGCACCCAAGGTCGAGCCCGCCGACATTGAGCGCGACTTGTACGTTACAATCATTTATCCTACCAGACATGTGCTAACAAGCACAGCAACGCACACATCCAAGACGTCCTCGTCGTATCATACCTCGCCAACACCATTCGCACACAAATCGATCTCTCGAACCGTCTCGCAACCGCCGCGCTCACCATGGGCGGTGGCGACCCTCTCGCTGGCGATGGCAAGAAGGACGGCGACAACAGGGGCAAGGGCGGCGACCGACGAGGTGGCGGCAAGGGTAGGCAACAAAGGGAACAGGAGGCATGAATGGGATGAAAAGGCACACTGCATGGAGTTTGGCGTTCTAGTGACATGCCACTGCTAACGCAGTAAGCGCGGCATAGCGCTCGGGGAACAAGAAAGAAAAGGCTGCGCGTCTGGATACGAAGGGCAATGGGCCGAGATGATGAGGAGAGGCGAGCGAGCTGAAGCATGAATGAACCGCTCGCTCGCTGGCGAAGTAGAGCACTGTATGGTGCGCTGTATCACTACTGCTTTGTTCTGATGGTAGTACTGATGGCATTTGACCAGATGCATGAGGCTTGATGGAATAAACACGATCAAACAGAAGCTGGAGATTGCGGAGATTGCAGTGTGATCATATTGACGTATACGGTTCTAGGTGACTCTTTCCACTCCTGTCTGAAGTGACTGAAGATGTCCCTCACCTTTACCTCATTTCTCAGACACCACAATCACACAACACCAAAACTACTGCACTACCCACCATATGGCATCAAATATGCTCAATAAGCGAGTAACAAGAACGAACGCCTCGATCTCTAATCGAATTGACAGCGCTGCGGAAGCCTCTCGCAGGTGAGTGCCGGTGTTCTTACCTTGCACGATATCTCGTAGGAAGTCGCGCAGGACATTCCATAGCTCCCGCGATCGATTACTGACTGCTTTCAGGCCATCACCACGTCCAATCACTTGACAACGAAAGCGACTGAGACTGAAATTGGCAGTGACGACGATGACGACTATGAAATCGGCAATCTAGCGAATAATTTGAATCCGTACCAATGGCAGATGCCCTTAAGCTTGGTTACTTCGATCTCATTGACCGCGTTCACCATGACGAATTAAAACGCCACCATCCCTTGATCAGAGACACGCAATTGATCGAATGCCGCTGACATTGGATTGGCACCCTTGCTAGTGTGTCCAAGGAAGTCTTCTCAGGCCTTGTCAATGGAGACTTGGCTGAACGTCACATGGATGGCAATCCCGCTTTCTCGAGACTGTATGGTGCACCAGGCCCCATGGAAGACGCTGGACAAGTCGTGACCTCGGAACAGAAAGTGCCTTGTCTATAAGCGTGCGCTTTGCTTGACAACCATGGCAATCCGCCCACCCCCGAACAAGAATTGAGAATCGTATCGATCATGCGCCGCTACATCGGCGACCACCCTGGAAATCTTGATCTGACGATGCAAATTGATCCAGAAATCGATAGCAAGAGCACCCCCACATTGAGAGAATCGACCGAGCAGGGACACCGAGCCTACCTCATGATGGATCTGCCGGGACTCGAAGCAAGGAAGTGGCAGATCAGGCGCTTCTGCAAGGTTGTTAAACAGCTTTGCACGCCACCAAGGCCCTCAACACTCGCACACATGCCATGGCTCCACATTCGATGTTCCTCGGGACCAATTGATCGAACCGCCCACTACGATGAAGACCAATCTGGAAATCTAGGTAAACTGGTCCCCCGCATCGCTGGATTGGAATACTCTGGATGGTTCCACAACAAGATGTTCATCCTCGCTCGCCTAGCCTCCGAAGAAGAAAAGTGGACGAGTCACGAACGCATGGAAGGGCTGTGTCGACGCATGGCACACAGAAGTATACAGATCGGGCCGAATAGTGCTCAGGGATAACGGATGACCGGCCCAGTTCGTGAATCCTCGATACTATCTCGGTCACGTGCGCAAGCGCACAGCGCGTAACAGTACGCGTCCGAAGAACGCTCAGGCTAAACCCCTTAAACCCGGCCGAAGGTTAATCTATTATATTATCAATCAAACTTCAGCCCCCTAGTAGTGTGTAGTTCTCTTCTTTATTAAATACAACTCCAGTATACCTGTGCGATAGCTCCCTGAGCGTAGCCCTTACATCACCCGGCAGTCTTTTATTCGTTTTTATGGCTTTGCATCCACCGGATGGTTAACACGAATAGACTGACAAGTTTAGTTATCTAGGTGCAAAAAGCAAGCTGCACCCCTCTTTTCTTATATTCCTTTTGTCTGTTCTCTCCACATGCACTCGATCGGCGAGGGCCGACCCATACATTGTGCATATGCATATGTGCTAAGAGGGGTGAACGATGTGTAAACGGGCCGATATGTGGGGTTCCCACGTATCCAACCAGAAGTCTCCTTAGCATTTGCAGCGATTATTCAGCTAGTAATCTTACGGAGTTCTTCTCGAAGCTTTTCAGCTGAATAAAAGGTAACTTGAAGGTAGTGTGCATTATATAAGTGTATACAACTTCACTTTCATCGATTCATACTCTGTAATTACTCTTCTTTTTTGTAACGGATGAATGGCACTACATTACACTTGGTGCACATAAAATAATGCACTTCTTTTTCTCCTTGATGCACAAGCTGAGGATCCTGCAATCCCACATATGTTCGACAGATACGAAGCGTGCGATGGTGTGCTGCACAAGCAGTGCAGGCATGAATCTATCTACATGCAGAGTGCGGATCAGTGACAGTCAGTTCTTTCACGAATACCACAGCCCCAATTTCTTCAGCGCTAGTCCTATGTGGCTCGCGCAGCTTATGTGTTGCAGTGCAGCACGGCTTTTGTGCCTTCAAGCAGCATACGCATTTTTCACCGCTGCTGTTGTGTAACACAAGAATTTCTCACCGCTGCTGTTGTGTAACACAACTTTACTTCCACGATCTAGTCTAGATCATCTCTAACATGTGCTTCGCAGCACGAGAAAAAGCAATGCAATTCCAATCATGGTGCTGCTCCGAAGAGAGGAGCCCATTTGCAGTTTTCTCACAGACGATTTCCAAAAAGGAACTAGGCAATAGATGGGTGCATATCGAAGTATATTCGTGAGATCTTCGGACTTTCAGGTTTACTCAAAGAACAAGAACGAAGTATAAAGCATCGGGCGTTTCCTGTCGAGTGTCAGTCACCAATCTACACTCAATCATCTCTGCCTTCAAACACGATTCTCCAAGCATTTGAGAACTTCTTCGATACTTTGGATACTACGCCAGTCGGAATGACGAACAAAACCCGCGACTATGGTGACTTGAGAGTCACGCTTACCAAGGACCTCGTATGGAAGTGGAATGAGAAGGGTACAGGTGCTGCCCGGTATGGAGAGTTCTATCTTGCGAACTCTCAAGGTGCAATGCGTCCTGTGGGATCTTTTGGTCAAGACAAGTGGGATGACCAGAAAGATAAGAGAGCTACGCTCTTAGTTGGAAACGTTCCTGGGAGTTCTGGGAAGCCAGCTGTTGCAAGCCCTACTAGTTACGACTGGGTGTGGGACGACCGGGGCGGCGCCGGCAACTATGATGGCACAGTCTGGCGACCTGTTGCGCCTTCTGGGTATGTCTCGCTGGGGGACGT